GCGATTATGTGTGTGAGGCATCCCACCGTCTACTTAAGGTGGAGGCACGCGTTGTGCTATGTATGTGTGTGTTTATGATGTATGGATGATGGTAATTGAACCCCCGGGCGGTTGGGCCACTACTGGACGCGGTAGATGGTCGGGTCACTACTGGACGGCGAGACGTAACGCAGTAGTTGACGGGCATGGACTGGACGGCGAGACGTAACGCAGTGCCATTGCCGAGTTTGGGTATGCAACCGGACGGCGAGACGTAACGCGGTTGGCATACTAGGGTAGGACACCGGACGGCGAGACGTAACGCGGTGGTCCTAGTGTTATGTGTTTGAGTTAAGGATAGAAGTTGAGAACTTCTATGAGTTAAAGTTTAAATGAGTTATTAAGGATGGAAGTGAGAATGAATTTCATCTAAAGAAAAGGAACGCTAATAACGTGTTTTAGAAAGTAGTTTGCTTAGAGCAAAGACCTTAGGAAGTAACAACGAGACTAACCCCTTCTCACTCACCAGGTTGAGGAAGGGTCAGCAGAGGTGGATTCCGAGAAGAAGTAAGACGAGGCGAGCTGTCACCCCAGCATGGACGAGACCTCAGGGAATCAGCAAGGATTTAGTGCCATAGTTAGTTTAGTTATTTTGGCCATGGTTATGAGTATACGTACTGGAGATTCAATGTTCAAGATTCTGGGTTAAGTTGTTTTAAGTATTTGGATTTGATTGCCCAAGTGTTAGGGTTTTTGTTTGAAATTCTTAAATAATGTCAGTTTGTTTATTTAAAAAGTGGTTTGGTTGCTCCGGAGTAACCGGTTCTCGGTTCGAGTTATGGTTTGGTTTCAAAAAGAGTCGGGGCGTGTCATTTTGGTATCAGAGCCGGCACTCCTCTGTTTCTTGGTCTCCAATAAATACTGGAGTGAAGATCTGAGTTTTTGAAGGTTTATGTTTTTAAAGGAAAGGAAAAAAGGTGTCAGGTGAAAGCCCAGAATTGGTAATCATAAAGCCCAGAAATTTCCCCGCCTTGGCGCCAAACACGCACTTGAGCGGGTTTAACAGAAGACGCTCTCTTCTCAAACTTTCAATAGTTTTCTTCAAGTCTTTGAGGTGGTCATTGGAGCAGGCCGCATTAAGGTTTGTGAAGTCTATACACATTCTCCACAATCTCGATGCTTTGCGGACAAATACCGGGTTTTCTAGCCAAGTTGGATAATTGACCTCTCATATGAGACCCGCCTTCAGCAACCGCCTCACTTCCTCTTCCAATGCCATTTGCTTTTCCAGTGAGGTGTTTCGTCTTCTTTGTTGTATGGGCTTGGACTTGCTTTTTACTGACAAGTGATGCTCAGCAAGTTCCCTTGAGACGTCTGCATGTACTCAGAGGACCACGCAAACAAATCTTTGTAATCCTTGAGAAGCGCCAACAGTTCCCGCGCCTTTTCTTCTGAGAGGTGAGATGAAATTCTTACCTTTTTTCTTGCTCTTCTTCGCTGAGGACCACCGCTGCGTCCTCTTCAACCGCTTCTGGACGAGGATGGCTTCCTCATGTGTCGACTAGGTTGACCTCCAAGCTTTCAATTGTTGATTGGTAACATTCCTTCGCCTGCTGGGTGTTTCCCCGTACGCGTCCAACATTTCCCCCCGCAGGGAATTTGAGCATCTGATGGCACGTGGATGGGACCGCTGAGAATGTTGACAGGAAACCACCTCCTAAGATCGCGTTGTATGCCGATGGGCAATCGGCTACATGGAAGTACATGAGGCATGTTTTTGTTACTACCGCTTCTCCTATTGTTACTTGCAAAGTTATCAGACCCAACACTCGAATTTTCGAGCCCGACAATCCCATGAGGCTGATCGCTGACGGCTTAAGATCTTGTATGCTCTTTTTCATGCTTTTGAGTGTGGAATAGAATAAGATATCTTTCGAGCTTCCGTTTTCTACCAACGCCCTCGTGACTTTGCACTTTCTTGTTCGAAACAAGATAACCAGCGGGTCTTCTCCACACTCTCTGGCTGCTAGCTCCGAGGGCGCGAAGCTAATCTCCACCAGTTCACTCCTGTGAACATTCAAGCACTGAACCATGCGGTCCCCTACCGTTCTGGGGAGTTTGCGCCCCCCTGCTATTGTTATGACTTCTACATCATCTTCATGTAGACGCGGTTGTCGACGGGAGCGGACCTTCTCGGCGGAGGTGGTAAGCTTTCACGACAAGGGGACCGCTCCGTTCTCGGTGACCTTGACCTTTTGGGTCTTGGCGTGTGAGATCTCATTCTCAGACTCGACGATCTCTCCCTTTCCTGTCTTATTTCGTGGCGGTTGAGCCGTGTATCTAGACGGCTCTTTAGGTCTACAGGCGCTAGGTATTTGAGGCTAGCTTTGAACACGCAACACTCTGCGGTGTCGTGAGTGGGCATTTGGTCACACCATTTCCGGTCGTCTTCCTCCATTTGCGTCTGGTGCGCCTCCTTCGTAATATTTCGCTCTCCACGTTTATCTTCTTTGTCAGTGGTAAACACTTCGTGCCTGATGTCGCGGTTAGAGTATCGCGGTTTATTATTTTGCTTGTCTGGCGAGCGCCCTCGTCGCTTTGGAGATCCTCATTTTTCTCGGCCTTCTCAACTCTGGGGTTGATGCGCTTGACGTTGTCTTCCGCTGTTAGCGCCTTTTCTAGCAGGATCTCCTTTCTCACTAGGCGATCTAGATCAGGCCAAGATTTCAACACATGCTCCTTTTTTATGCTATTTTTAGCTCGCAATTGTGCATCGACATTCGTAATTTACCCGCTGCTATGCTTGGTGAGATTCCTTGCACTTCGCAGCCTATTGTGTTCCACCTATCGTAGAAGTTTGTCAGCGTCTCTTCTCCTCTCTGCTTGCAGTTGATAAGTGCTAACACGGTGAGCTTCCTTCTTCTTTGATACGCGAACTTTGACAAGAAAAGCATGGAAAACTGTTCGAACTTCTCAACTATCCCTTCCGGAAGGGAGGTATATCAGGTTTGACACTGACCGCCGAACGTGACCGGGAACGCCTTGCATAGATCCGCGTCTGAGCCGTTGATCAATTGCATTTTGATCATAAAGGCGCTCAAATGGTCTGTGGAAATGGAAGTCCCGTCGTATGTTGGCAGCCCCAGCGACGAGAAGTTGGGCGGGACCTTTGTCCTGAATAAACTTTTGGCCAGGGGGTTTTGGAGTATGTTGTTGTGAGCCTTTGCCCTTCCATACGACGGTTTGAGGTGCTCCTCTAGAAACCCAAATTGAAATCTTCTGTGCCCTCTTCCTTTTCGGAATCCTCGCCTTCTGTCTGAGCAGGGCTGTTAGGATCTTCTTCCCTTTCTTTACCCTTCGCCTTTTGCCTCATTGAGCTTTCCAGCAAGTCTTTTTCCTTCTCGGGCGTGCTCTTCTCTTTGAGCATGACTAAGATCTGACCCAGGATTTCTTGCATGCTAGATATTTGCTGCCCCTGGCTCTTAACGCGGTCTTCCATCTCCATCTCTTCTTCTACAGTTTGCATTTCCAAACCGCGAATGCTACTTCTTTCTACTACGCCCTTGACTGGGGTCCAGAACCTCCATCCATCCTTTCTTCAGTTCTTCACTCTGCCCCACGGTGGGCGCCAAATTGTTTGAGCCTAAAATGTTCTAGGCGGTTTGATGAGAAGCGAGTGAGGCCTCTATTCTTGATGCTGGGTGCGCTCCTGGCCACTACAAGACAAGGGTCTGTGGGCGGTCGCCCAGGACACTCTCCAATGCCTAAGGCAGATAGAGAAGGTAGAATTAGGGGTGTTCAAACGGATTGGTTACCGTGGTAACCATATTAACCGGTAGTATTCAGTTAATTTGGTTTGGTTAATTTGGATAATTGGTTTGGTTAAACAATTTAGCTTATTTGATTTATGTGGTTTGGTTTGGTTTGGTTTCAACACTGCTAACCAATATGAAACCAATTAACCAATTAATGATACACCTAATATACAAAATTATTTATACTTCCATGCAACCAACCAAATCAAACTTTCGTGATTCCCTATTTTATTTCCATGTGCACAATAAACCAAAGCATTATGGGTCAAAAATTAAATTGGTCTGCCTATTTACTAAACCAAAACATTTTGGACTACTAGACTTTAGGATTACGTACAATACCATGACAACCACCTCAAACTATGTATAGTTTAAGTGCTTTGTAGGAGAGCTTTAACTTCATGATGAGTGGTATTGGTATGTATTTAATATTTATGTTAAGGGTTTGTTGTAAGCTAACTATATTAGGTGCAGAGATAATGAATGATGTATTAACTCGAATGATGATGATAATCATGGATGGTTAGTCTTATTATTATTGCTTATATATAATGATAGTAATAACATATGGTTATGTTTTATTCGTTAACAGGATAATTGTTTTCATGTAATGTTATGTTATTTGGTTAATCCGATTATCCAATTAACCAAACCAATTAAATTTTGGTTTGGTAAATTTGGTTTTCGTGTTAATTTGGACGGTTTGGTTAAGACATTTTATTTCATGGTTAGTGAAATTTAGGCTTAATTGGTTTGGTTATTACCACGGTAACCATTTGAACACCCCCTAGGTAGAATATGTGTTTATGTTTAGAGAGAGAGAAAGTAGTTGAGGTTACCATCAATGCTGATCTCGGGGTATTTATACCCAGTTAGGCTGAATATATAGCATTAAATGCTCTGTCAGGCATCCTAACTAGGTACTGCTTTACCAGAACCACCAACGGCAGCTAATCAATCCTCAGTCCTGCTTGTTTCGAGGCACGTATCTTTTGGAGAGATCTTCTCCTATCATGATCAGTGCTTTATGTCAGGCGGCCTATGCATGTCCCGTCCCTAGGCTAGCCGCACGCCATGCATCAGGCCTCCCACCGGGCCTGGCTTGCCTCTCTCTTTTGGGTCTAAAATCCAATACCGCTCAACTATGGGCCCAACATATTTTTCTCGAATATTAATGTAAATTTAGGTTAACCCTACATTCCTAACGCAAGCAATGAAAATAAGATGGATAAAGTTCTCATTTGTGGATGTTATACATCACTGAAAAATAAAAGAACAATATCATCCTACGTAGGAATCAATCAATCACTCAGTACTTTTACACCATATGATTTACAATCACAATGTCACATATAATCTTTCATTTTTCATCCATTTTTTTCTCTTCATATGGACAACAAAGATGCTCGAGGAGGAACAAAATATACAAAGATTGGGAATGTAATTTTTTGGCTGATTCCAAGTTGGCAATCATCCCTTAACCAAGTGTGATCAATTCACCAATCTTCTAAAAGTGCAAAGTGGTGATTTCAAAATGTCCTACAAGAAAAAATGCACTCATCTTGGGGGAATCACAAGAATACACAGATTATGAAACACACATTCCTGATCATGATCAAGAACACACACCCAAATAACTTCAATTTGCCTCTTGTGACAGAATCTCGAGTTCGGCCCACCACAACGGGGACAACCTTGGTGCTGCTTGATCTTGTGTTATAGGAATGACTTCCTTCAATCGAGGAACGATGTCGCTCATGCTCGGTCTCTGTCGTGGATCTGAAATTATGCATTCTTGAACAATCTCACATATTACTTCGAGTTGGTTGGTTTTGAAGGCCTTGAGGGATGAATCCACGATTTGGGTGATTCTACTCTTGTCACTTAGATATTCCTTAGCCTGTGTCATGTCAGGAAAAAAAAGGTACAAAAGGAGACAAGTGAGGGAAAAGATACGAGCTAGTGTATTAAATACCAAAACTATACACATTATTTCTACATACCCATTTCTCTATAGGGCCTTCTTTCTCTGAGTAGGGAAGCTTTCCTGATATCACCTCCAGCAATATAATACCAAAATTGTACACATTTGCTTCTGGATCAACGATGGGTGGTAGTTCTGAATGTTCCCCCTCGTCTTCGCTCGAGGGTTTGGGTTTTGATGCAGCTTGTGACAAGAAGGAGATTTCAGCAATCTGCAGGAAGATGCATGCCCCAAAATAGATGGTGAAGATAATGAAAAGCAAGGAGGATAGTGATGGTAAACGTATCAGGTAGGTGAGGATAGTGCATGTCCATTATTCTACTCGATTTAGTTCGAGTTTTTACCCATATTCATATAAGGATCGGGTAGAAAATCAAAATCAAGCTCGTGACCGATCTGGTTTCGGGTATCCACGGTTATCCACGGGTAATAGTTTATTTTGTGACTCCAACCAACATGTTAACATCCATACGTATACTGACATTGGATAAGCGGAAAAGTACGATACTAATTCATTGAAATGAAGAAAATTAGTTAAAAGCAACACAATTTCATGGAAAAAAATATTAGTTATGCGTAATAAATATCAAATATGTTGACAAAAATAATGATAATTTCTCCAAAAAATACATATGCACGTGTATAGTCGGGCGGGTTCGGATTGGATAGTCAGAATACCATGTTCATTCATTACCCACAATATGCGAGTACGAGTGTTCCCATACTGAAAATTTTTCGAGTTCAATTTTTACCCTACCCAATTAAATTGGATTCGGACAAAGATCCACCATTGTGATATTTTTTTCATCCCTAAATGAGCACCAACGATGTAAGTAGAAAAGAACCATAGATTTATACCTTAGCAGCGTAATCGTCTGTCAAGAAGATTGAACTGGAAGTCAAGTTGGTGTGAGACACTGGTGGCTTCAAGTCATGCATGTGTTTCAAACAATAAGCTACTCCCATGATGATTCTCATTCTGGAAGTCCAGTCGAGATGCTCCATGTCTTTAACTGCACCCACCCATAAGATAAAAACCCTACTTCAGTCTCCAAGCCCTAAAACCATCTTAGAAAATGCACAAGAGCAACAAAAATGTTGTAACGATTAATCAAATATTTACTATGAATATGTTCGAACAATGTTCCATTTGGTGCGTATTCAAACACCATCATCCGATTGAAAGGTTCGTCCTCCTCGCAGAAGCCAATGAGATTTGTAAAGTTCTTATGGTTCACTTTTGAAAGTGTGTCAATCTGAAAAATTGATAAAAGTAAAAAAGATCATATATGTCTAAATGTTAACATGTTGATAAATTTTAAAAAATGTATATGTTATTTTGTGATTCACACCTTTCTTCGGTATGCCTTCTCTGCATTCCTCGACCACTCCTTGCGATAAGTTGTTGTAGTTGAAGCTACAGCAATCTCAATTCCAGAGGACAATGTCCCCTTGTACACGATGAAACCGTCATACGAGTTTATTATATTGCTGAAATCTTCGCAAGCAGTTTCGAGTTCTGATCTATTCAACTTGGGAATCCCTAATGACATGGCCAGATATATGGTTGAAATAAGTTGGTTGATGGGTGTCATAAACCAATTGGTCCAAATCACTCGAGTTGTTGCAGGATATATATGTTCTATTATGTATCTTATATCATCATTTACTAACACACCTCCTCAAACGAAGGCCTACTCATATGGGGCTTGAAGTTCAAATAGGTCTGGATATCATATGTTAACAAATGGGGGGTTCGAACACAAGACATCTCGGCTAAAATGCTCTTCTACCATGTCAACCACCAATTGGAGGGCCAACTGACCAGCTGGTTCCTGAGATGGTATATCAGAGCTGGTTGAGTCAAGCGGTCGTACATGTGTTCGAACCTCCACGACCCCCCAATATAATACCTCATTTAAACACAAACTACAATGATCAGCCTGTGCAAAATTTCAAACCTGTGAGTTGACTCCCCTTTTGAGTAGGCATGTAAGAAGAGAGTGGTATATGAATCATAATTAACCTTCTCCTAACAACTCGAGTTATTGGTATCAAACGGTTTTTGGATAGTGTGAAAAAATAAATAGAATATGGCATTCTCGTTAATAAAATGGGATGTACCTGAAACTAATGCATTCTGCAGTTGTACACTGATTCCAGACCTCCAAGGACCAATGTGCCTCATTCCACGCCTCCGACAGAGAACTATCATGATCACGATTAAAGCCATCAAGACAACCGCCATTAGAGCGAATACAAAGTAGATCCACGTGTCCCAAAACGACGGCGGCACGTGGTTGTGTATGATTGGTCCTTTAGGAGATTCACTTGGTGCATTATGATCTGACGATGCATCGTTACTTATTGATGGTGGTGATGATGGAGATTTCGAGTTCGGTACGGCCGGGAAACTCCCACTCCCTTTTGTGATCGGAACGACGACTACGACGTCGTTTTGTCCACGATCGTTTGTCGGTTCGGCGACAAGGTTGCTTGGTTGTTCTTGCAGTCTACGTCGTCGGGCAAAGTTGACCAGAATCTCTACATTTTGTATCAAGTGAGGGACGTCAGACGTTGAATCCGCTGCATGCATGCAAGCAATGCAATAAAAGACGTGATTATACGCGTAGAAGTATTTTGGTGATCTAAAAGCGTAAAATAGTAAGCTTGTAAGGTTTAAAGCGTAGATTTTGACTACACTTGTAAGAGAAAAATACGATTCTATGTAAAAGCATTTTGATGACCTAAAATTGTAAAAACGTAAGCTTATAAAGTTTAAAACGCAATTTTGATGTCATTGCATGCAGGAAGAAAAAAGCCATGTAGAGTTGTCTGAGATAAAAAGTTTTTTGTTGGAATGAGACGAAAGTTGGACGTAGAGAGCTACTCACCAGGTGGTCTAGTAGTACTACAACAGCAGCAACTTCCTTTTACGGGTTGAAGAGGATGAACCCTAGCATTGAACCTGCAAAATGAATGTCATCACTTCAAAATGTGTAAGTCGTTGTGTACCTCTTTGGATTCGATGAAAACATGGAAGGAGAAGATTGTAGATTAACTCACGTTTGAAATAGTGAGGAACTATGGAGGTATTCTCTGAGAGATTTGGTAAATGGTATTGCATGTGAATAGGCCCTCCATAGTTTTTTCAACCTCATCATCCATGTGCTGCAAAGAGCAACAGACAATGGAAAGAAATTATGAAATACGAGGCGGGAATGCTATACTCGTGGAGTATGTGATACTTTACGACTTCTTTCTGTGTGATATATCTATCTAGATCATGAATTAGAGTTGATTTTGGGGATATGATACTGTGTCGTAACCTCTTATAAATGAAACCTCTACTTCGATTCTCTAATCTCAAATGTGAATGTTGATTTATTAAAAAAAACAATAGCTGGCGATTTTGTTTCGCCAAAGTACAACTATGTATATCCAATTGTCGAATCACTTAGAGTATCGTAATACTCTAGGAGTACACCACTCATCGATCAGCATGAAATATGCCACTCATATTTTTACCATAAATATCCCAAACATGCATGGGAATAGGCAGGCATAAGTTCCAAAACAATCGTACGTGGTAATCGATTAATTAAAAAAAATCGTACGTGGTAATCGATTAAGTTTGCTTTGCCATGATATGGACAACCTTATTAAAACTATAAGAAGCAAATGGATAGTAAAAAAAGGCTAAACGAATCACGCAACAACCACACCTCGTATAGAAGAGCCCAGGGCCACTTACTCATCTTCATTCTTGCAATTTACATATTTGAATTCTGAGGCTGAAGAGGATGCAAGGCTCTCATCCAATTCCAAATGTGATAATAGCTTGAGCCTCCTCATTTCTCCTGGAATAGTACCTCGAAATTTATTACCGCTCACTGACCTAAATAAAAAAGAATTAATGAACAATCTTTTCAGTTACTTCTGCCCAAAAAGTGTTATTTAACTTAATATAGATAATAATTAACTTACAAGCACTTTAGGGTTTGTGATCTCCCAATTTCTGCAGGAACTGCTCCACTCAAGTAATTATTCCTCAAATCTAGTATTTCAAGCTTCTTAAGATTTCCTATCTCGCTTGGTAGAATACCAGAGAAGCAATTGTTCCGCAACACTCTATCAAGGAAAATAAGGACATTCAGTTGTCAGATCTTACAAGTTGTTTGATAGTTATAATTGTTAAAAGTAACGTTGTGTATAATACGTGTATACCTGTTCATCGAATTCACGGTTTGGACAAGTAATCACCGCAACAACTTTTAGTCTAGGAGATATGTGTAAATAAGCATCTTAATATAGAAACAAGAGTTTGATCACTTACATAGATCTTAAGTGGACAAGTTTCCCAAGCTCAGGAGCCAATGTCCCTTCCAAAGAACAACCAGTCAAATTCCTAGCAAAGATAGACAAAAGAAACACAAAATATCATTACTTTGAAAATTCCCATTTTTTATACACTAAAAAACATTGTTAGTGAAACCATGCCGTATCGACGATCCGACTGGAAAAATTTTCTATTGAAATCTTAATTTGTATGCTGTTTTTAGCGATATGAAAAAGTTAAACCATAGTTAAACTAATATTCCAACACAAAATACTCTATTGCTAACTTTTCCTGTAAAACCTCACGTACAATATTACAATCCTTGCTAAAAAGCTTACTTTTTTATTTCGAGACAAAAGAAAGGGCCCAAAATAAGAAACTTACAATATATGAACTTTACCAGCAACACAATGGACGCCAGACCACATGCAAGGGTCGCCATCTCTGAGATTCCAATTAGCCAGAGCACCATGAGGATCCGACCTCACCCTTGATCGAAATTTGAACAGAACCAGTCCTGTAAATATACCACAAATTAAGAAAATGTTGAATATGAACATTACAAAAATCAGTAATTATTATCAACTGTTACCTTCATCGTTCAGAGACCAAGACCCATGAATTCCCACACCAACAATGAACACCAAGAAGCACAAAAACTGGGTTCCAATTGGGTTCCATCTCCCCTCCATTACTTCCAGCAGTGGAGGTAAAGCAATAATCTTTTCACCAGGAAATCGCCAGGGTTTATATTTTTTTACACCCAACAAACCCTTCCGCCAAAACCTCCTAAGAAGAAGAAGAATTCTCGAGAAAGAAGAGTTCAATGTGGGTCTCTCATTATTGTAGCTTCGATTAAATCTTCTTAAACAACCTTTCCTCTAAAACCCACATCATTAATGGCTCGGCTCCCCTTGATTAGTTTGTTCTCCAACAAAATTGTGTCTCTTTCCCTCTGTAGCTGGAAAAACAGGGGGAAATGGAAAAAACAGAGCATCCATTGATTGAACGATGTTATAATTAAAAAGACCAAAAAATTTAGGTACAAGGATGATTCTTTTACCGTTGGTGGAGTAATGTGCAGAAATGGGCAATGTATGATTCTATTGGAACAAGGGGGATTGGGCTTTGTCGGGGGCTAGAGGAGGAGATAGAGAGACAAATCGAGAGAAACCTCTGCCGACAGAATACGATGATGATGATGATCAGATTATGAATTCTTTGATCATCTCTTCTCCCCCTATACCCTTGTTCCCCCTTTGTTCTTCTTCCCAAACTGCTTGATTCCTGACTTTCTAAAAGATTTTGTTTTGTTATCTTTTGATTTCTTGGATTCTCGATTTCTTTTTGTTCGTCGAAAAAACAGAATTATTTCTTTGATTATTTTCTTGGATTTTCCTCTATCTCTCTATTGCTCTCTCTCTCTCTTCTCTCCTAACCTAGCCCCCACAAGCCAGCCCCAAGCTGTGTGTTTCTGTTGTTCTCCATATTTTTGCCCTTTGTTATTTTTTTTGGGATTACTCTTTTCAATATTGGATTTTGATTTTTAATTTTTCCTTGTGGGGTGAATGCTACCCTAACCTAATTAAAAAGGAAAAATAACTACTCAAAAGATATATTGTTGGTAAGAAATCATTTGATGAAAAAAGTGTAAGAAAGAAGTTGTGACGGCGTTCAACCATCGCTGAAATTGAAAGAGTTGGATTCAGATATATCATTTCGTAGTTACGAAGGTTATAACAACCCATATTATTGGGTTAATTGCAAGGTTGGTCATTGGGTTTACGAAAAATGTTTACGTTTGGTCACTAAAAATATTTAATTTCATTCGTGGTCACTAAGATGAGTTAAGTAGATCAAATTTGGTCACTCTCCGGCCAACTCCGTTAACTTTGTCTTATGTGGTAGTGAACTCTCAAAGTTGACCGTTAACTAGGGATGGCAATGGGTAGGGTCGGGTGCGGGTTTACCCTATACCAACTCCTAACCCGCCGGGTAGATCTTTCTAAAATACCCGACCAAATAACCACCGGGTATGAAAATTATATAACCATACCCTACCCACCGGGTAACCACGGGTATTCGGGTAACCATGGGTACGAATCCTAAACTATGAACTTATACACATATATGCACATACGTACTGTTGTCCATTAAAAATTCTCAATACTTCTAATTGTTCTAGTTTCAACAATCCACACAAATAAAAACAACAAAAACATAATAATTGTTCTTGTTTCTACAATCCACACAAACATAATAATCGTCTACATCATCATCAATAATGGTAGCTAAACTAAATTTCTCAAGCTAAACTAAATTTCGCAAGGGAAATTGACCCTTAGTAAGCGGGGCGGGTATAACGGGGCGGGTATTATCGATTACCATACCCGTACCCTACCCTTTATTTTGAAACCGGGTATTACCCGTACCCGCCCCTTAACCCGTCAAAGCGGGTAATTACCCTCGTTGACCGGTTACGGTCGGGTAGGGTACCCATGGTTACGGGTTGGATTGACATCCCTACCGTTAACTGAATTACATGGCAATTAAAATTAAAAAAATTAATTTAATTTAATCTTTTACAATTTTCAACTCATTTTCACAATAAATAAAATAAATAAAATAGGAACAAATTATTATAAATATCATTTTACCACAACCGACCACATTTCCCCTGCCGTCATCGTCATGTTCTCACCGCAGTCGTCGCCCCACCCACGGATCTCCGCCCCTCTCTTCCACTCCTCTCTGTCCGCGCAAAATCTCCGTCGATTCAACTCGCTCATCCTCCTCCTCCTCCTCCTTCCCCCTCTCTTCCTCCATCTTCCCGCTCATCACCAACTCCCGGGACTCCGACAGCCCCTCCTGGCGCGACTTGGACGCCTTTAAATCAGTCAGTCCTCCCCCCTCTTTTCCTTTCCTCCCATCAATTTCTCCTTTCCAATTTCTTGTTTGGATGCCGGGAAAATGAACATTTCGATTTCAATTTCAAATTTGTTTCGTGATTTCTGCTTCTACGGCTGGGTTTTGCAGGAACAGCGACAACGGAGGCAGGATGAGGACGGCGGCGAGTTAAGGGAAGAGTCGATCGGAGATTTTGAGGTTCTAATGGTTGAGGTCGCGGCGGAGAAGAAGGGAAATAAGGTTGGAAATTGTCGCTGGTTACGGTGGGTTGAGTTTGAATCCATATGAATCTTTCGTTGGAGCTAGCTAATAGACTCATGTCCGCTGACGGTAATGGTGATGGCGGGCGCGGCGGCGGGTTCTCATGGGAGATTGGGCGATCTGATAAAACCTAGAGAAGAAATCAGGGAGCGGGGGTTTTAGAGAAATTTCATTTGATAATTATAATATTTATTTTTATTTTATTTATTGAGTTGGAAATGGTAAAAGATTAAATTTTATTTTATTTATTATTTTTAATTGTCATGTCATTCAGTTAACGTTCATTTTGAGAGTTAACTACCAAATCAGACAAAGTTAACCGAGTTGGATGGAGAGTGACCAAATTTGATCTATTTAACTCATCTTAGTGACCACGAATGGAATTAAATATTTCTAGTGACCAAATGTGAACCTTTTTCGTAAACCTAGTAACCAACATTGCAATTAACCCTAATTTGGGTTCAACTTTTAAAAAGGTATGGATTAGACTGGCGATTAGATACTAAAACCTCTAATCATATCAAATTAGATTCAATAACCAAGACCAAATTGATCAAAAGGACGGACTTATATTTTATAATTTAGGGGTCGTTTGGTTTTTGTGATAGTTAAATTGATGTATTGTCATCAATGCATGCATAATAATATACATATATATATAAGAAAATTGGTGTATTGTAGTTTACATTGTTTGGTTTCTGTGATAGTTATTATAGTATTTAAATAAATTATATTACTTTTGTGGGGTGAAATGTCACTTTTACCCTTTATTTTTAATATAAAAAAGAAACACACATAAAAAGGTAGGGACATATTTGAAAGAAGAAGAAGAAAACACAATAATCTCCATCAAACAATCTCAACGAAAACTTGAGATTTAACTATCACTCATTTGAGTGATAGTTTGTGTCAAATCAAGCAAACAATGCATGTATTGTTTCGTAGAAAATTCAAAAAAACGATGCATTATGGATATTACATGCATTGTAACTATCTCAACCAAACTATCACCAAAACCAAACGAACCCTATTGGTCGGGCCTAAATAATATAACCCTCCAGCTTCTGACTCTCACGTGGACAAAAGAAATGATTGCCTTTAACATTGGTTGATTGGGGCGGGTCAAAGTTAGCTGATAAATCGATGAGGAATTTTACAATGTTATACATTATTGGTGATATAGGTTTTTGTTTTTATGGTACAATTTGAACGTTGTACCTTTAATGTTGTGGTACAATTTTAGATTGTAACTATACTCTTTTGTACAAATTCTTTTATGGTACAACTTGAACTTATACCTTTGTGTAATGGTACTACTTGACAATTTCAAGTTGTACTATAATATAAAGATATAAATTTCTTTATTGTACAACCTCAACTTATATATTTAACTTTATGGTACAATATTAAGTTGTACATTAAGTCATAATTTTAAAAAAAAAAAATTCACCAATTGTTTATAGCACAATAAAAGTGCTCTAAATCGATCAATTGGATATGCTACTCTTTGCAACAGGATTCGTTCTCTCTGGCGTCCAACGGCGGGATTTGAAGTCTTCGCTTTGGATCAGGATTGTTTCCTGGTGAAGCTGGAGAATGATTTGGACTATTTTAAAGCTCTCACAGATGGTCCATGGGTAATCTATGATCATTATCTGGTTGTGCAACAGTGGACTCCTTCCTTTCGTGTAACAGACAAACTCCCAAGCTCCATGGTTGTTTGGGTTCAGTTCCCGGGTTTCCCCGTTCATTTCTACCACAAGGAACTTTTGTTTACGCTGGGGAACATGATTGGCAGGGCAATCAAGCTTGACTTCCACACGGCTAATCAGCAAAGAGCGAAATTTGCTCGAATGGCGGTGGAGGTAGACCTGTCTAAACCTCTAGTCCCCCGAATTCGGCTGGATGGCAAGTGGCAAAAAGTTGAGTTCGAGAACCTTCCCATCGTTTGCTTCGAATGTGGCAAAATTGGGCATACAAAGCTAAACTGCCCGACTCTCTCACAAGCTCTTACCGTCGCTACTCAGTCCGGTACGCCTTCACCGCCGTCGGTCGCTGCGGCCGTAGTTTCATCGGAAGATCCAGCCGGCTTCGGACCTTGGATGCTGGTGTCAAGGAAATCCCGCCGAAATTCTCGCGATCCCCCTAAACAAGGTAAGTCGGAGCCAATATTGGTAAGTCATAACGGGAAAGAAAGGGGGAATTCAGGGAAAGATGAAGCGGTGGCTAAGGTGGAAAAGGTGGGAGCGGCGCCTCAGCTATCTGGGAGGAGTCAGGGGAAAGTTCTAAATGGCCATAATTCTAACCTAGGGAAGCAAAAGGGGAAATCGGCTGGGGACAAGGGCAAAGAACGTAAAGGGAAGGAGATCGTGGACATGGAGGTGAATAGGATTTTGGGGCCTGCTCCAAAGCCCCTTGTGATTGGACAGCCCAAGCCCACCATCAATAGCAATAACAAGGAGGCCTCGTCCTCTAAACAGATCCCGAGACCAGCTAAAGAAGCCCGACCCAACGAGAAGAATCAGAGGCAGGAACTGAACGTCTCCAGTAAAGGGAACGGGGTCAACATTCAAATTGTGGAGGTCAAACCTTATGAGCTGCCTCCACCCCGAACCATCGATCACTCTGTCCCGTCGGCGGTTTCAAGAACTAAACAAAAGAAGGGAAAAAAGAAAAGTCAGGGGAGCAATAATTCGACGCCTATGAAGCTGACTCCACTCCGCCATAATCCGATGAAAGCTCTGCAGTATTGGTCACCGGTTAAAGACAAGAAGAACAAGAGTAAAGAGCGGCGAGTAGCCTTAACCTTGCAGCAGATCAGCGAATGGATAGGGAAGACTCAATCGGAAGAGGGGAAGAAGGAGGATGCGGCGGCAGGGGGAATTGCGATGGATTCGGCGGCGGTCAACATTGAGGAGGGGGACCTGCCGAGTGCTGTTTCCCGGTGACTTTGTCCCTTTCTTACTGCTTTTCTGCTTTTGTCTTTCCGTTTCTTTTCTTCCTCTTTGTTATTTCTTTTTAATGGTTGGTTTTAATTGGTATAACTTCAAAAAAATTTCGTGGAATGTCGGGGGTGCCGGAGGAAGCTCCTTCTCGCATTCCCTGAAGCTTGCGCTGCAGTTGCACAGGCCGGATTTTGTTATTCTCCTCGAACCTCAAGTTAGTGGAGAAGTGGCGAACAGGGTTTGTGAGAAGCGGGGTTTCCCGGATGTCCTGCGAATTGAAGCTCAGGGACGGAGTGGTGGGATTTGGCTGTTTTGGAATTCTCAGAATTTTTGTGTGCAGGTTGTATCGGCAGGGTCGCAACATCTTTCTGTGAGAGTGTCGAAGGGAAACCAGGCTCCGTGGATGCTCACAGCAGTGTATGCGTCCCCCCGCCAGCATCTTCAACGTCTTCTCTGGAATGCTATCATCGAGCAAAGCAAGCAAGTGGACTGCCCATGGATTCTCACCGGCGATTTCAACGCAATTCTGCATCCGGACGAGAAAACAGGGCCTCCCTCACCAGCAACTTTTCGTAGATGTAAGCGTTTTGGGGAGTTTCTGAATGAAGCAGAGTTGGTGGATCTTGGCTTCTCTGGCCCTCGGTTTACGTGGTCCAGGGGGAAGGAGAGTGACACATATAAAGCCAGCAGAATCGACAGAAGCATTTGCAACCTGGATTGGAATGAGGGATTTCCAAATACGTCGGTGACCCACTTGGCGCGCCTGAGCTCCGATCACCATCCGATTCTTACTACGGTGTCTAATCAGGGAGGCCCTAACCTTTCCACGAAACGTTTCAAATTTGAAGCAGCCTGGTTCACTCATGAGGATTTTCCCTCTTTTCTTGCTGATTCTTGGGACTCACTTAATGTTTTGCCTATGGCGTTGCAGGATCTCTCCAAAAAGCTCCAGCTTTGGAATACATCGACCTTTGGAAATGTGTACCAAAGGAAGAAGAGGCTGGTTGCTAGGATTGAAGGGATAGAGCGACGTCTGGCAAACTCTTTCTCCCCAGGTCTCCTCAAGCTGCACACAAAATTGGAGAAGGAGTTAGATAAGACAATGGAGCAGGAGGAGCTTATTTGGTTCCAGAGGGCGAGGGAGCATTGGGTGAAGTTCGGAGAACAGAACACAGCCTATTTCCACCAGCTTGCCAACATTAGACGACGAAGGAATAAGATTGACTGTCTTAAAAATACTAGTGGGGAATGGATCAGCGAGAAGGATGAGTTGTTGCAACTTGTTTTTAACTTTTTCTCTGAGCTTTATTTGCAGGATAACTCACCTTATGTTGACCTCCTCCCAAAAGGAGACTTCCCGCGGCTGAACCAAGAAGACTGGCTCCATGTTCTCTGGCCTTTCAGCATCCTCGACATCCACAAAGCGGTCTTTGAGATGAAACCGCTTCAAGCACCGAGGCCAGATGGCTTCCAAGCTTTGTTCTACCAGAAAGCTTGGGCGGTGGTGGGGAAAGCGCTCACTGATATGGCTCTGTTATTTTTTGAACAGAGAACGTTGCCTGAAGCGGTCACGGAGTCCACGGTGGTCCTCATTCCAAAAGTGGACAAGCCTGAGTCGGTTACCCAACTTCGCCCGATCTCCCTCAACAACGTCTGCCTCAAAGCAATCACTAAAGCCCTGACATGTCGGTTGAAGGAGGTTATGAGGAAGCTGGTCTCTCCAAGGCAGAGCAGCTTCATCCCATGACGTCAAACGACCGACAACATCCTTATTGTTCAGGAAGTGCTGCACTCTTTGCGAAAAAAGCGGGGGAAGAAGGGAGGAATGGTGTTGAAGGTGGATCTCGAAAAGGCTTATGACAGGCTTCGTTGGGACTTTTTGAGGGACACCTTGATTGAAGTAGGGCTTCCGAGTTCGTGGATCCGGGGGATCATGTACTGTGTGGAACACAACAAGATGCGAATCTGGTGGAATGGGGAGTTCACGCCTATCATCACTCCCACTCGGGGCGTTCGCCAGGGAGACCCTCTTTCTCCCTATCTTTTTGTGCTTTGTATGGAACGTTTATCTCATAGAATCGATCAGGCCGTCCGGGATAAGCAGTGGAAGCCCATTCGCTTGTCTCCGAGGGGTCCTGCTTTATCTAACTTATTTTTTGCGGATGATTTGGTGCTTTTTGCAGAGGCAGAAGGGAGCCAGATAAGAGTCATAAAAAAATGCCTGGATGAGTTTTGTGCCAGTTCAGGACAAAGGGTGAGCTATGACAAGTCTGTCTTGTATGTCTCACCGAACATCAGACAAGACAGAGCCCGTCGGCTTAGTGACAAGGCTGCCATCCCGCTGGTAACTAATCTTGGTCGGTATCTGGGCATTGAGGCTATCCATGGGCGGGTTACTAGGAGCCGATACCAGTCATTGATTCTGAGGATCCAAAAGAAGCTAGCTCCTTGGAAAGCAAGGAGGCTCTCACTCGCCGCGAGACTAACGGTTACTCGTTCTGTCTCCCTTGCTATTCCCACCTACTCTATGCAATCTGAGTTAATCCCTAAGAATGTCTGCAATGCTATAGATAAGATTAACAGGGATTTTATCTGGGGAAAAGAGGAGGACAAGGGGAAGATGCATCTGGTGCCATGGGAGAAGATGACGGAACCTAGGCTTCAAGGGGGTGGAGGCCTCCGGCCTCTCAGGCAGGCTAACCTTGCTCTTCTGGCCAAAGGAGGGTGGCGTATCCTCAAAGAGAAGGAGTCTCTTTGGACACAGATTTTTAGCGCTAAGTATGGGAAGCAAAGAGAGGGCCTTGACATGTTTCGTCCTATTCAGGGAAGTTCTTTTGCCTGGAGAAGCTTTACCAAAGCTTCCCACCTTCTCAGAAAGGGTTGTGCGTGGAATATTCAGAATGGTAGAAGCACTAATTTTTGGTGTGATGTGTGGGTTTTGCAGGTTCCTTTAAAGGATGTGGCTGTTCAGCCCATTCCGGAAGAGAGGCTGAGGGACACAGTTGCTAGCTATTTGGATGATAATGGAGATTGGGATGTGAGTCGGTTTTCGCAGTGGCTGTCTTTTGACGTTCAGCAGAAGATCACGGCAGTAGCAGTGGATGTTTTCTCTACGGACCGTGATACTCTCTTCTGGGCCCCTTCCCCGAATGGCCATTTTACTGCTAAGTCGGCTTTCCAGATCGCCATGCCCCAGCAAGGAAATCAGGACGAGAAGTTGTGGAAGAAGATCTGGAGCAACCCGGTGCCCGAGAGAGTTCGGTGCTTCAGCTGGTTGGTTGCGCTTAACAGGATTTCCACTAACAGCCTGCTCTTTTACAGGAAGTGTGCTCCGTCGCCGATGTGTTCCCGGTGTAACATTTGCCCGGAAACAACGCTCCACCTGTTGAGAGACTGTCCTCCGGCTGTTTATGTCTGGAACAGGAGCATTTGCCCCTCCGAGCAGCTTGGTTTTTTCTCAAGCGATCAGGAAGCTTGGCTGCGAGGGAATTTACTTAATGATAAAGCTATGGCGAATGGAATGCCATGGAGTGCTTTTTTCAGTATAACCATTTGGCTTTTGTGGAAAAACAGGTGCACCACGGTGTTCCAAGGAGCACAGAAGGCTCTGACTGCACCTTCTCTGTTGCACTCTATTCAGCTGAAGTCGGATTTGTGGTATAAGGCGTGGTGCGCTCCTCTGTTGGGAACTAGTAATCGGGAGCCATGAAGGAACCGAGTGACGGCTAGCATCCAGTGGAACGCTCCGCAGCAGGGATGGGTTAAGCTAAACATAGATGGCGCATCGGCGGGTAATCCGGGACTTGCTGGTGCAGGCGGGCTGATTCGTGATGCTCAGGGACGGTGGGTAGCAGGTTTTGTGGCAAAGATTGGGGAAGCTTCTGCGGCTCTAGCAGAGCTTTGGGCCTTCTACCATGGCCTTACTCTTGCATGGAAGTTTGGTGTTAACAATCTTGTGATCGAGACGGATTCTCAGCTGGCGATTCTCCTCATTAATAATCGCCATGATCCGGTACACCCGTATGTTGCTCTTTTAGCGTCTATTCTTAGGAGACTTGCTCAGGATTGGTTGGTTAGTATAGTTCATACATACCGAGAAGGGAATAGAGCCGCAGACTGGCTCTCGAAGCACAGTCTCGTCTATCCCTACGGTATGCATGAGCTGACTAACCCTCCTAGAGAGTTAGCGCAGATTTTACAGGATGATATTATGGGGGTGTCCTTTGACCGCCGTATTGTGGCGCCTTCCTCCTCTTAGCCTTTGTTTCTCCTCCCTCCTTGTCTTTCTTGCTTCTTGGCTTTGGCCTCCCTTAATGCAAAAAAAAAAAAAAAAAAAAAAAAGAGGTGAAGGGGTGGTCAGACCGTCCAAATAATTCCAGGACTGTGAGGAAATGGGTTCCCCTCGTGTTTTTAATGAAAGGTCGATTATTACTCCAATCAAGTTGGGCCGACCATGCTTTGGGTCAACTTAAGGCCTTTTAATCAATGGTGGAACTTGGAAGTAGGGGATTCAGTGGATTGGTCCGCACCAAATTGTAGGGCTCCAAATGAGTCGAGCTGCTTGTGAGCGGTGTGACCTTCGATTCGGAAAAAAACCGTTCGAAACTCGGCTTGTTTACTAATGAGTCGAGCTTGACCTTAGACTTTTGTAGCTCGTGGAGCTGGCGAGCTAGCTCGACTCAGTGGCTTGTCGAGCTTAACTCGTGAGATGACTCGTTTAGAGCTCATAAGATATCTCAACTCTCAACATTGTGGTTAGAGAGCTAACTCGATTATCAAGTTATGAGCGAATCGATCTATATAAGTTTGATTTTGATAATTCATAGGATTGTTAAATTATATATCTCACCCTATATGAAGTTTAACAAGTAGATTATGGAGCAATTATGTCTTATTTAATTTTAAAAAGCAATTATGTATCATAGATTGCTTCAAACTGTGATATAACATAATTTTCAGTAGTTAAAATTTATTAACTAAATAATTTGATACCACAAAGTATAACATGGGCAAACTATTATTATTTTTGTTTTCATATTGACATTAATCACATGTATCATTTATGAGATACAAAATGAGTATATCAAATACGAGTTAAGATAGAATAGACTGGATCCAACCCTCTAACAAGGAAAAAATGCTCTCAACTCCGCTGGAAGGAACTCCTCCCATCCGATCGACCGCCGGACCTCACCTCGCACCTCTCTTCAGCGGACCCTGGCAACGCACACATAGCAACAGTAACTGATATGGTCATCGATGCCTCCGCTGGAGCGGGGGGTGTGCCTAGAGACCTCAAACATGCTGACCCCCCGGCCACGGCCATGGAAAAGGAAACGGTGCAAGCTCATGAATCTCCGGCGCAGATCGGGCCGACAGCACAGTTCTCCTATGCATCGGCGGTGAGGGGGTGAAAAACCAACGTTTCGTTCTCAAATCAAGCTTCTCAATGGACTCTGGTGGGCGAAAATGACCTGATTCCGGGTAGCCGAAACGGAGAGCCGGCCCTCAATATTTCCTCGACCTTCAAAGATAAGATTTGTGCCCCCTGGCACCGAACGATTATGGTTAGACTTCTTGGCACTACTATCGGATTCAATACTCTATGCTCTCGACTCCGTGGGCTCTGGAGACCAACAGGCGCTATGGAGATCATGGACCTTGACCAGGACTATTTTCTAGTGAAACTCAATAATGAACAGGACTACTTCAGAGCTCTTACAGACGGTCCATGGACAATCTTTGACCACTACTTGGCAGTGCAGCAATGGTCTCCGAGCTTCAAGGTTTCTGATCCACTCCCGAGAAAGATGATTGTCTGGGTTCAATTTCCGACTCTGAAAATCCACTTCTATCACAAAGAAATCCTGACTTCCCTCGGCAATCTCCTCGGAAGAACGATCCGTTTGGATTTCCATACTCTGACTCTACAACGAGCGAAGTTTGCTAGGATAGCTGTTGAAGTAGATCTGTCCAAGCCCCTGGTCCCTCGGATTTGGTTGGACGATGCCTGCTAGAAAGTCGAATATGAAAATCTCCCTGAAGTGTGCTTCGAATGTGGGAAAATTGGGCACTCCTCCCTGCTCTTCCCAAGCTGCGGCTGCAAACTCCTCCGCCGATATTAGCCATCACCGGCGGTGAGACTCAGGCAAGCGAGGCAGAACAAGGAGGGGAGGAATCGACCCCGGGATTTGGGCCCTGGATGCTCGTTTCCCACAAGAGCAGGCGGAATTCGCGGGATCCATCACAGAAAGGGAAACTTGAATCATTCTCGAAAAACGCCAACGGTAGTATGCCTACGAAACAAGGAAAGCAAGAGGTTTTGCAGAAGGAAGATGGAAGGACAGCCCCGATATCCCCGCCGATCACCCCAGACTCACCCCAACGAGCATCCAATCAAGACAAGAAAGGCGGAATAGGAAAGAAACACACAGGAGAGAAAAAAAAGGAAAAGAACCAGCCTCAACTGCGGTAAGGGTTGGAGGAAAAGGTCTCTTGGGCCCTATTCCGGATACTGGCCCGATCTTTGGTAATGGGCAAAAGCCCAAGGCCGACCAGGCCCAAGCCTCGACTTCGACCAAAAGCACGCCCAAGCTCACTGCCTATTCGAAACCCAAAGACCAGGCCACGCCTCTGCCGAAAACATCACCCCCAGTGGAAGATTTGGCCGCCGGGATCGTGAAGAGCAAATTGACGCCTCCTGCCGTCCAAACGGTGACTGGTGTAAATGGCACAATCATGCAAATTGTCAGTCTTCAACCCACACAGGAAGGAGACAAGGAAGCCAAATCCGCCCAGACTCCATCAACGAAGGCCAGGACTAAGCAAAACAAGCCCCGGAAGGCGGAACTCCGGAGAACCCCGACCAAGCTTAGTCCGATGAAGGGATTGCAAATCTGGACACCGAAGAAAGATCGCAAAACCAAATCAAGAGCCAGAATCGCGACCCTCACTTTACATGAGATCAATGCCTGGAAAAATGCTGCTAAAGAGGCGCCGGACAAGCTCTTAGGAGGAAATCCCAGTTCGCAGAAGGAAGGAATTATGACCGACGCAAGACTGGCCGAGCCCGACACCACTATCCAATGAGACCTTCCCCTATGCTTTTCTCCTTCCCTCTCCCTCCCTTTCTTCTCGTTTTTGTTATCATGGCCCTGTCTATTAGTTCTAATTTAAGCATTTTTGCCTGGAATGTAGGAGGAGCTGGAAGCAGAACGTTCATCCGGTCGCTGAAACTCGTCATCCAGTCCTACCACCCTGACTTTGTCATTCTCCTGGAGCCTCAGATCAGCGGCACGACCGCGAATGCTGCGTGTGATAGACTGGGTTATCCGAATTCCATCCGAGTAGAAGCGAATGGGAGAAGCGGGGGTATTTGGGTTTTCTGGGACGCCAAGAGATTCTCGGCCCAGCTCATCTCTGCTTGCGACCAACACATTTCCCTGCGGATTGAGGAAGTTGCCAAGCAGCCTTGGGTCTTAACCGCAGTGTATGCGTCCCCCCGCCCTAGTGAGCAGCGTCTACTCTAGGATAGCCTCATCCAGCAAAGCGAGTGGCTTGACCTCCCTTGGCTGCATTCGGATCACGCCCCTCTGATGACCTCTATCTCCCCTCGCGTTGGAGGCAACAACAATACTCGGCCCTTCAAGTTTGAGGCAGCCTGGCTAACTGATGGCAGCTTGCGAGAGACTATTTCGGCTTCCTGGGATCCTGATACCCCTTTCTCCAATGCGATTGCTACTCTCTCAAGCAAGTTGCAGCACTGGAATACATTCACTTTCGGTAGTATCCACAGGAAGAAGAGCAGGCTTTTAGCTAGAATCAAAGGCATCGATTCCAACCTGGCAGATTCTTTCTCTCCTGGCCTAGCTAAACTCCGATCAAAGCTTGAAGTGGAGCAGGACAAAATCCTTGAGCAGGAAGAAATTCTTTGGTTTCAGCGTTCCAGGGACAAGTGGGTGAAATTTGGGGAACGTAATACTGCCTACTTTCACCAACTTGTCAACATCAGAAGATGCAGGAATAAGATCGAAGCTCTCCAAGACATGAATGGAAATTGGGTGAATGATCCTCAAAGTCTGGCTTCCTTAGTTTTCGATTATGTGTCTAACCTTTTCCTGCAGGAGGATCTCCCCTATGAAGACAAGCTGCCTCAAAATGCGTTCCCCTCGCTAAGCCATTCAGAGATGCTTTTGCTTCTGAGCCCTTTTTCTATGCAGGACATCCATAAATCGATTTTTGAGATGAAGCCTTTTCAAGCTCCTGGGCCGGACGGCTTTCATGCGGCTTTCTACCAGCAGATGTGGGCAATTGTGGGAAAGAAGTTAGCGGATATGGCTTTATCTTTCTTTGCGACAGGCTCTCTTCCGGATAGCATACCGGACTCCACCCTTGTGATGATCCCGAAGGTGGATACTCCTGAGAGGGTCACCCAGCTCCGCCCCATTTCGCTCAATAATGTCAGCCTCAAAGCCATCACTAAAGCCATGACCGGCAGACTGAAGCCCCTCATGAAGAAGCTGGTGTCTCCCAGGCAAAGCAGCTTCATTCCGGGAAGGCAGACTACAGACAATATCATCGTAGTTCAGGAGGTCCTCCACACCCTGGAGAGGAAGAGGGGCAAGAAAGGAGGAATGATCTTCAAGATTGATTTGGAGAAAGCTTATGATAGACTGAGATGGGACTTCCTTAGGGACACTCTGAAGGAAGTAGGCCTTCCCAGTTCCTGGATCAACTGTATTATGACCTGTGTGGAACAGAACAGGATGAGAGTCCTATGGAATGGCGAGCTCTCTCAGCCGATCTCCCCATCCCGCGGTGTCCGTCAGGGAGACCCTCTTTCACCCTATCTCTTTGTTCTTTGTATAGAGCGTTTATCGCATAGGATTGACGAAGCAGTTAATAGTGGACAGTGGAAAGCGATTAAGCTTTCTGCAAATGGTCCACCTCTAACTCATCTTTTCTTTGCAGATGATCTTCTCCTATTTGCATAGGCGGAGTCTAGGCAGATCCAGATCGTGAAACAATGTTTGGATGACTTTTGCTTCAGCTCTGGGCAAAAGGTCAACTACGACAAGTCGATTCTCTATGTCTCCCCAAACATTCATCGGCAGAGGGCTTCGAGACTGAGCCACCAGGCGGGAGTTCCTCTTAAAGCGGCCTTGGGGCGTTACCTCGGCATCCAGGCTATTCAGGGGCGTGTGACTAGAGACAGATACCAATCTCTCATCCTCCGAATCCAGAAGAGGATGGCTCCCTGGAAGGCAAAACGCCTCTCCTTTGCGGCTAGACTCACCCTAACCAATTCTGTTGCTGTGTCCTTACCTGTTTACAGCATGCAGACTGAGTTGATCCCTAACAATATCTGCAAAAGCATTGACAAGTTAAACAGGGACTTTATTTGGGGAGGAGAGCCGGAGAAGGGCAAGATGCACCTGGTGGCTTGGGACAAGATGACTTCTCCTAAATGCCAAGGTGGAGTGGGCATTAGGCAGACCAGGCAAGCCAACATTGCCATGTTAGCCAAGAGCGGATGGCGCATGATTCAGGAGAAAGATACTTTGTGGACTCGGGTGATGCAAGCGATATACGGCAGACAGAGGCAAGGCCTCAATTTGATCAAACCAGTAAAGGGAAGTTCCTTTACCTGGGCCAGCTTGGCCAAAGCTTCTTTCATCCTTAATAAAGGATGTGCGTGGAATGTTAAGAATGGTAAAGGCACTAAGTTTTGGCTTGATCTGTGGGTTTTACAGGTCCCTTTGAAGGAGATGGCCACTGGCGATATTCCTCCAGAGCTGGAGGAGGCGGCGGTTGCAGATTTCACTAATGATGATGGGAGCTGGTGTACCGAGCTCTTCAGCAACCTCCTTCCGAGCGAGATCCACCAAAAAATCCTGAGTATTGCAGTTGACAAGCTCTCTCAGGAGGAGGACCGGCTGTTCTGGTCGGTGACTGCAGATGGCCGCTTCTCCACCAAATCGGCCTTCGCTTTGCTCACCAAAAGACCTCCGGACCCGAGCGAGAAGATCTGGAAGACCATTTGGCGCCTCCCGGTGCCGGAGCGGATCAGAACTTTCATGTGGCAGACGCTGTTGGAGAAGATTGTTACCAATGTTCTCCGTTACAGCAGGAAGATAGCGCCGAGCCCTTGCTGCGACCAATGCACCAACCAACCGGATTTGATCCTTCACATCCTCAGGGATTTCCCTCCAACCCTCTTCTTCTGGTCCCAACATGTCCCTACCCAGCGCCAGCAGACCTTCTTCAGCGACCAGCAGGAAGACTGGCTCCGCAAGAACCTGCTTGAAGAAGATATGATGGCGTTCTTCAGCATGGCTGCCTGGCTTCTCTGGAAGAACAAGTGTACGGCTGCTCTTCGAGGCAAGACAACTGCCCTCTCTGCCCCTACCCTCGAGCACTCCATCATGATCAAGGCGAAGATGTGGCACGACTCCTGGCACGCGCCTTCTCTGCTTCCGGACAGTCGTGCGCGCCTTGCAGCTCGACAATGGGAGAACATAGGCTGGTCCCCCCCGCTAGAAGGTTGGGTTACTTTGAATGTGGATGGGGCTTCTAATGGGAATCCGGGCCCGGCTGGTGCTGGAGGAGTTATCAGAGGCTCCACTGGTATGTGGGTGGGCGGTTTTGTGGCAAATATTGGAGTGGCCACGGCGGCCCTTGCTGAGATTTGGGGAATCAATCATGGACTAGATTTGGCTTGGAGACTAGGATACAAAGCAGTCAGAGTTGAATCGGACTCGCAGTTGGCCGTGAAGATCATTCAGAACAGAGATGACCCTCTCCACCCGTACGCTACCCTTCTGTCTAACATCCGCAGGAAACTAGGCCGGGACTGGTTGGTTAACATTACTCATGTATACCGGGAAGGGAATAGAGTCGCGGACTGGCTCTCGAAGCACAGTCTCGTCTATCCCTACGGTATGCATGAGCTTGCTAGCCCACCCCCCGGTCTAGAGGCCCTTCTTCGAGATGACTTCCGAGGCACCACCTTCGAACG